AAAAGGGATTACTAAGCAATATAGATTCAGGTAGTCGGAGAACTCATTATGTCTTGTTCGATTAGTTGCAGCCCAACTGATTTGGATGCCTGCTCAGCAAAATATTTATATCTCCAAAACTAATTTGAATTTTGGAAATCCTCTCGTAGACATATTCTTGAATAGTTGAACTATGAAAATGTGCGAAAAAAATAGTCGAAAATTTTTTTCTAGACCAGAATACCCCCTTAAGTTTGCATTAGGTTGCTTGAATATGGAAGTGGTCTTGAATCATTGCAGAAACACATGTTCCAAACAATAACTGTCAGGCAAAAGCCATGGAGGCAGATTCTGTAGGAGATACTAGAGCCTCTGGGCAACAGATGGTGAATGTCTATGTATGAATTCAATCTCTTTTTCTGCAAAAATAAATATCCTTGGTCATTGAATTATTTGATGTCCACACTTGGCGCCTGTCCTAAATTTGCTATTAGCTATAATAAATGATAACTTTGAATAATTTGTCACTGTTATTTAACTCCTATTTTTCTCACGAATATAGAATGGACCACGTAGCTTCTTTTAGTCATTTGACTTATTAAGTTGATACAATTACCTATACCTTTTAGAAATAAAATATTGCAGATTAAATTGACTAAATTACTAATCCATAAAGTGACTTTTAAATGGAAAATTATGTAATAGGATTAATAAATGGAGTAGACAATAGGAGAATTCTAGGTTCATTCGAAAAAACACAAGCGGGTTATGATTAATATGCATAATACCATTCACATTGCGTCGGAGTTAAGCTGCTGACATTAAATTTTCATGAGGCAACTGTGGCGTATCTTTAGTTCCCAAAATTCGTATTCGAAGGGAGTTTGAATACATTGAAAATAGATTAAGTGTTCTGAAAAAAAGGCGCCCCCAGATGCTTCGTCTTATGGCAAAGAAAATACTTTTTAGTCCATATATCTAAGCATAATTTAGACTGATCGGTAGATTGGGAGTATGATTTCAATCGAAATATTCATTTATTTATATCGAATGGCAGGCGTTTTGATAGTTATCATTAGCCCTTTAGTGGACTTCGGTCTTCATAGAGAGGAGGAGAAACATCAAGGTGACAAAAAGAGGACTTCAGGCTTAGGCGTTTTGATAGTTATCATTAGCCCTTTAGTGGACTTCAGGCTCCACAGATGGGAAGGAACACCAGAGTGAAAAAAAAGTCGAGAAGGGGGGGTGGAATAGAAGACTGTTTCAAAGATGCAAAAGAGAGACACAAAGGTATAAAAAAGGTGAGGCGAGTAATGTGGAAGTAGTCAAATATGACATACAGCGGGATCATGGTAGTTTGAAGTCAACTGCCGGTTAATAGACTTTTTTGCTGTATGAGTATACGTGGTCCAGGGTACACCAAGAGGAGGTAAGTCTATCGCACACCCCTCAATCGAAATACTGGAATAGTACTTCGTCGCTGATGGGAAAAGCTACTTAGATGAGAAAAATACTAAGTTACATGTCACTATCGTGAATATCATTTAGACATATGGAGTTGTAACTAGCTTTGTCTCCTTACACGACCAAAAAGCACATAGAAATTGATTAAATGAAGTTGGCCTATTTTTGCAAACACATTCCCACCTTTCCGTGGGTGTTTGCACAAAAAACGACAACTTTATACTTCAACATTAAATAACCAAATAACTGGCAAATATTTTGCATTAAATAGCTTTCATTCCTTCTGGGAGCTAGCTTTTAGAAATCGGTAAATTTTAAAAATTTGGACAGAAAATCAACTTTCATTTTCCCGATTAAATATGCAAAAAATGAATGCCTCTGTTGAAATGATTTTAGACACAACAGTTTATTTTATACCTCTCACCAAAGTATTTTGACTAATCAAATTGCCTGTCATATTTTTTTCCCTTAATTTCAAAATCCTTTTTACATAATAAAAGGCAATTTTTTGATAATATTTACCAGAAGAAAGGCGAACATTAAATATTGTAATATTGAGAAGGCATCAAGATAATTTGGACAATTCAAGTATTAGTGAAGAACAAATCTTGTTGTCCGATTATTTCAAAAAAACACACTAGATTATTAAACCATTCTCAGCAATTAGACTCTGAATTATATGTCTGTTGTGCTCCGAAATTTATGAATACATTAAGTACATAATCAGTCAACCTAGTTGAGCATATCTTAATTTACAGGAATTTGCAATAGCCTCGTTTTCTTTCATGCTCCATTGACGCTAGTTCCTTATTCTACCAAATCGTTCTAACTCGTCTTGCTTTCTCTTATTTCGCACCCACTGTGAACTACATAAACTCCAGGCATTTTAAAACAGGGCAGGCCTAGTAACTTGCCAGCATTTGGGGAAAAAAACTTAGCAGGATCTCTTAGTCCGACTAGACTGGCACTTCATTGTATGAATTTAGGCCTACTTTACGTTATTATTATTATTATTATGACTTAAAGTTTCATTAACTTGGTTGACTTCACTGCCATGAATACGCGATCCCAAGGAGGTATAAGAAAATATCATCGTTCTTATCAAAACAATTTGTTTCATTACCAACTTTCCAACAATTGAAAATGATTCCAACTTTAGTTCCTCTAAACACAATTTAAATAATTAAAACATTTCTATATTCAATAAATCGGAATTCATCAAGTTCTCTGTTTTTCGGATTATTCGTCATCTAATTCAACTAATTGATGATGGAAAGGCTGCGCTATATTTTGACAAGCCATTTTTTCAACAAGAAATGTAAAAACAGCCAACATACTGTGCAGCTAAATTTGAAGCTCATCACATTAATGCATTCGCCAGCATTTTCTTAACATTCTCCAGACTGCCATATATTATAGTATGATAGCTGCTTGCGTTCATTCCAACAATCTGAGCATGTCTCATTTAGTTAGTATTCACAAAAGTCAACTGAGAAATTCATTGTGTGCATTTAGTACACAAATGTTTAGGTGTCTCACAAGGGGTGCTAACTTCTGAAAAGCATGGAATTTCCCCAGATAAGGATATCTATAGTGTATAGGAATTAAAATAGAAAACAATGACTTTAATCATAAGAATATACAAGAATAAATTGATACAAAAGTCATTGTGAGTCCATATAAAGAAGAGAATTCACTCACTGAATAAGAAACTGGGTAAATCAGGAAATTCTAACGGATATGAAATGATGGAAGTAGACAACTAGGCATGTAATGTGTGGTCAACCAAGTCAAAGCTGGCTTAAAATCAGCACATTATTTCATTAATAAAAAAAACCATTGCCACAAAATTGAAATTGAATGCATGAAACACAAATGACAGATCAACTCACCAAAGAAAATTGCTTTTCAATCCCCTTACTTAAACTGTCATAATTTTTAAAAAAATGCCACGAATTTGTTATTTTTCATCGATTCTTTGATTACCAATGAAATAGTAGTCAATCTGCCAATACTTTTCCATCTCAAGGCCATGCGCGAACACTAGAAGACATGGAGCATTTAGACAAACTGTCTGTCTTTCACAGAAATATCTTAAATTGGGTTTGTTGCCAATAATGCAAGAAGCTGGCATCGTAATTGGATATCAGTAACCTACTTGGCACACTCCCTCACCGAACACCTGTTTAGCGCATCTGCATTGCGTGGAGGCATAAGAACGTTTAGGTAAATATTTGTAACCTTTAAAATATTTTTATTTAATGTAAATACATCCTTTCATAATCAATAAGGCACAAAAACAATAAGAATTAATATATTTACCTAATCATAAGTGTTAGCAAATAGAGTTTAGTTAGGTTGCCTTTTATTCTTGTTAAATTCAATTTTGGATTTTCCTTCCATTGTGACACAAGTTTTAAACAGGAGTTGCTTCGATATACTTCACCCAGAAAAGGGAACGAATTCATTTTAATCTTTGCAGAGGGAAAAGTGTGGGAGATTTTGGTGGCATGCGAATTGTTGTTTATGCTAGCGTCATTGCCTTAGATAAACGTAAAATATATATATCAAATTAGAGAAAAATTTAAGAGGCATAGGAACTTGAAAAATAATAAAACTGCCCCCCCCCCCCAAGCACAGTAATTCAGTTAGAGCAAGACAGCTTACAATTTGAATATTGCCCATTGAGTGTGAGTCCATACCGTTATAGCACATATGGTCACTAGATCAAAAATTAGTTTTAAATAAAAAGCGTTCACCCCAGGGTACCATTCTTCAATGAGTTGAGTTAAGTTTGTAGTTTTTGCCGTCACAGGTCAATCATCCTGAGATTTGATGAACTCCTTAGCATTAGTTTAGATCATTTATCATTCGCAAATTTCAAAATAAAAAGGACATTTTTTTCAAACCAACTTGAGACAGACCCTTGCGCCTTGTGAGCTTTAGGAAGATAACTAGTTCTATAGAAGGGGGTAGGTGCAAAAATTTGATGTGGCTCTTATATTAGCAATACAATCATGGAAAACTCCTCCTTATTGGTGAGCACGTCGTTTAATGGAATCAACCTACACGTTTAAAACTTTTCGTCAGCTATCTTTTTTTAAACTCCAAAAACAATACTAGTAAAACAAGACATATGCAAACTCACTCTCATCTTCTGATTTTGATCAAAAAGAGTCTGGTAATTCTGTGGCCCCGTGATGAGAAACAGATTTTGGAGTTCTGCATTCCAAACTGCGAGCATTATCAAATTCACTTAACAGTAGAATTAACCGAACGGTCGTTCAAGCAGTTTTCTTAGTTCCAAATGAATTCGGTTGTTACATTGCTTAAAAAGTTTTGCTCGAAATGAAAACTTCTAGAAAAAAATTCACGATTAACATTTGAATAAATAATGGCATCAATTACTACCCAGTTAAATCAGTAGTATTTATTTTAAAAGTGAAGAGAAAGATTCTGGTAAATATTGTGGGCGGAAGAGGGGAGTAAACTTTTTCGGAGAGCCCGAGGTTGAAAAAGAAAAATAGCCTGAAGAGGTAGTGCCACTTTATCGTAGCTCATTGCTTGTTCTGAGAAGCAGCCATCATGCTTTGCATAGTTTCATAGACTGTTTTTACTAAAGACTGTTCAGGAGGATTGAATGTACCGCCTTTCCCATCTACCCAGAGTTGACGAATCCTTGAGCACACATCCGTATGACCTGAGAAAAATGGAAGCCCAATTAGTAATTTTCCTCGTACCACTAAAATAAATTCTGAAAGAAACTGAATGTGATAAAAAGCTTGTAAAGAGATGTAAATCAATAGACATGAGCTGCATCCCACGAGATAACAATTATTACTTAAAAATAACTATGGAAACGTATAAACTGGCATTTGAATTTGGACGCTGATCTATCCAGCTCAAAGTATGTCAAGCCTTATGCACTGTAAAGGCAAAAAAAAAGAGTAAAACCGCAACTCAAGTAATATGGAAATCTCTGGTCTCAAAACTGAAAACAGAACATTTTATTCTCTTCAGTTATTGCTTAATTTAAAGGCAAATACTTAATCTAATTTTGGATACGACCTTTAGGATAAAATACATTAGCCCTAAGTAAGAACATATTAAAAATGTCCACCATCATTGGCTAAGCGAGACCAATAAAAGTGTCCAATTTCGGGTTTTCACAAGGAAAGTTCCGCAGTATACCCTCCCAATCTAAGATGACTAAAAGCAATTTTCCTGAACCGGCTCCAGATTTTGATAAGCAATTAAAAAAGAGAACATCGAGACATTCATTTAAGTAGGATACAAGTTGAAACTAACACGAGAGAACATGCAGAAAGGTAAGGATTGCATCACAGTAATATGATCGCCTTAGCCACTGGATACGTTAATATTGCATCATATCTTTTCACATACCTACCCACTCATAAAGCAACCATTTTCAAAAGATTGCTCGCAATGTATTCCCATAAAGACAAGGTGCGATAGTGAAATTAACTTCTTTACTAGAATTCCATTAATAAGCCATCTAAATGTATCAAAATCACAAGAGTAAACTGAAATAAATAACCCGGTTAAGCTCACCGCTAAAAGTATATTTAAGAAGTAAGAAATATTTTCAAAACCACCTTATAGAAGCCCAGGTTATTTTGAAAATTATTAATTCACTACAGGTATATTATTCAGGTCAATAAAGAGAATAACAAAGCGATAATATGAACCTGTTTTTTTCGAATCCATATCATTCATTATGGTTTGATTAAAATTCTGAAAATGTTTATAACTATATGCTCCAATTTATAGTGATTCGTTCAAATTCTATTAAAGGAAAACAACTGGAAAATCTCATTAAGTTTCAGCGATTAGCATGCGAAAAGCTGCCAAGGTTTTGATAGACGTCGATGAACACCCAATGAGTGGAGTGAGCAGCCATATTGATTTGCAACGGGAAAGAACTATGATGGTAATGTGAAACCAAAGATAAGTGTTATAAGACGCTTTTCAAACTGTGTTTAAAAGTTAATTACAATGGAGAGAAGACATAGCAAAAAACTTTAGAAACAGAATAAAATATTAATTTATTCAAGGACAAACATATTGTACTTACTGTACGAGTGCAGTCCCAGATAGGTAGCAGAGGCATGCACAAGCATTCTCTGAAAACCACTAAGAACCAGAGAGCGACCACGAATCCATCTATTCTGCGAGGAATCGTGGATATGAAGTAGGCTCGTTGATGGCGTCCACATTTGATTAGAGGCAGAGAAATTCCCAAACACCCATCGTAACTCCGATTCGACTCGATTGAGGAGACAGAGATCTTGCAGGCAAAAGAATCTACCTTTGCGCCTCTGCTTACTCCTTTCATCCTGAGCTTGAGTATAGAAGTTAATAGAAGAGCGGATAAGATCAAGGAGTTTTGGGGAAAGACAACCAGGAGTCGGAAGACTAGTGGGATCGGTGAAATCCATCACCTCATTGTGAAGAGCAATTGAAGGTGGTGAGGTAGTTAGAGGGGACGTTGATGTCCCAAGTAAGGCTGTTTGTAGCTCCTCACAATTTTGAAGGGATTCTAAGAGAGAAAGGAATAAATAACGTTCTAACAACAAGATCTCAAAAGAATAAGACAAATTTAATAATTAAATAAACTTAATGTGTCTCTTAGCATAAGAAAAGTCAAAATACTCCTTAGACCACTAATATATATATATATATATATATATATATATACTTATTTATTTATTTTTTAAAATAACTTAGGAATAACGATTACATGCAATCAATGTGTAGTCATTACTCAGAAGATCTAACCAGAAATCACAATTATTCACTCACCAAATGCATCTATTGATTTGTCTTCCATATCTTCGCCGATAGTTTCCAGAATAACAAGGGGTTTTTGCCTTCGATGTCGCTTACTTCTATGTCTCTGACGCAAATTATTTTTGTTATTTCGGGGACTGAAATCAAACCCACTTAGGCTACCATCCTCAGAAGATTCAGAACCATCAAGTGTGTTTGATGAAAGGCAGCTCAGAAGTTCGATTTGACTCTTTTCGTCAAGGCAAATAAATTCATCCCAGATTTTACGAACACTAGATAGTGACATCAGGGGATAAAGAGAGTAACATACGTATCATCATTAAAAAGAGATGAAAACCCCGTCATCTCTGGGTCTGTTTCGGTTATACTGAAATCGAGCTCTTCGTTGCTCTCATCAGTAGGAGTAAGGATACTTAACACGATATTCAAGTATGCCTCTGAAATCACAAATATGAAAATGATCAAGAGACAGATGAAGTGTTCAAAAGCGAAATGTTGCTGAAGATACCATTGTTTTGACGGCGCATAGCCCTGGAACCAACTTTTTTCTTACGAGGTTCCTCATTCTCAAGACGGGCGGATCGGTTATTATTTCTCGTACGATTAGAGTAAGGTGGTAGGATCGAGTAAACCGAAGATGAATCACTTTCTGAAGTAGTGCCAAGATCAGAATAGTGTTGAAGCTGTTGTGTTTGCAGTCTTTGCAAATGAAAAACAAATATAAAAAATATCTGAAGCCTTAAAATTATACTAGGAAAAATTGTATTTACGAAAAATATACATTATGATTGCCTATATAAAAAAGAAAAAGATAAACATAAATTTTTATTCTGCAGTGTACTTGATTCCCGCTTAGTGTTGAAATAATACAATAACTTTATTAAATTCCACGATAATCAAATCAGCATTGGCGGTAGGAATTATAAAAAATTATTTATAAATACATCCAATGTGATGTAATAAATAAAATCCAACTTACGGCATCTAAGCAAACGAACGAGAATCCAGGTAGTAAAAAGAGGATTAAATCGACAATTACCTAGACTGATTGGTAAAACCATTTTTCAAACTCAATACAAAATAGGAAAAAATAAATAGTGGCTTGAAATGTTAAAAAATATTCTAAAATTTATTATGTCCGAAGTACGCTTACTATAAATTACAAGCTCTATTTTCCGTCTTCGGGTATTTTAGCGATATATCTTTAAATAAAATTGAAACATCTTGATAAGTGTAGGAAAACTTAATTTTATATCAAGTACTACAAAATATTCCATTTTTAAAGCTTATTAAATCTAAAGGATTAAACTCAGTGAGTAAATTGGATCCTAACGTAGCAGGTAATCGCATTGCAGCCGGATAGAAGTCACCTACATTTCTGAATCTAATATTATAATCATTTTTAGCTCATGAATCGAGTATTCTCTGTCTTTTTTCTAGTTTTGCATATGACAATGCAATCACAAGCACGATTATCTTTGTTTAAAATTAATCTCACTGAATCTTTCTATAGGATGGAGTGAAAAAATATCAGTATCTCCAATGTCAAAGATAATGAAAAATCGCAACAAATCAGTAATAGTGCTTTGAGAGCAACAATATGGGTCATAGTTGATGAATCAAAGGCAGTATTATCACTTCTGGGAAGATGAGGAGGTCATATTATCATGAATAATGATATTTTATTATGGCTGATTATACATATAAATGATATGATAGACAGAAGAAATTGCCGACGTAAAATGCGTTCAAAACACAACGAAACAATTTTAAAAGAGCAAGTCACATTTAATGTGGGTTCGCAGTATTAAAGCTGTCTTCTCAGAACCGATGATCATATTTAAGTTTTAAAGAGCTCTAAACGAGCCTTTATTTTCCATCAGCAAGCAATTATATTCTCATTTTGCTATACCTAACATTATATAGTGTCAAAGGGGTGTGCGATAGACTTACCTCATTGTGGTGCATCCTGGGCAACGTATACTCATACGGCAAAAAGTCTATTAACCGGCAGTTGACTTCTAACTTCCAACTACCATCCCCCCATTGTATGGCAGTTGACTTCTAACTTCCAACTACCATCCCCCTACTATATGTGATATTCGAGCCCTTCCACAGTACTCATCTTACTTTTTCTCAGCATCTGTGTCTGTCTGGCTAATCACATATGTTAATCATTATTCTGTACCTCCTCTCGACTTTTTGTCACATTGATGTTTCTTCTTCTCACTGTAAAGCCCGAAGTCAGCTAAATGGCTAATGATAACTATCAAAACACCGAAGTCAGCTAAATGGCTAATGATAACTATCAAAATGCCTCCCATTTGAACTAAATAAGTAAATAAATAAATATAATATCTATACAAATTATATAAAAAGCAATCAAAAGCCATACTTAAGAATATTAATCCAAATAATATAAATTTAAATATAATATATAAAATCTGATGAGATTTTCAACATTAAAATAAATGAATTTTGTGTTTCAACGAGTTAAAGGAATTTTAAGGTGGTTTCATTATACGTCAGATACCAAGTACTTCTAGAATTATTATGACACCTTCAATGACTTCACGTTATTTCGACCCGAACGTCTTGTTCAGATTGAATGATATGTTAGTATTTTAACCTAACCCTTTTTGGATTTACGTATATTAAACCACTTGCTTATTGTCTAACGAAATACCAACTTACCTTTTAATTTTTGTGCATTTCCCTTTACAACCGCAAATTATGGTTTTATTTGGCTGTTTTGCAGAGATAAAAACGTTCAGATTCACCTTAAGAATGTTTACTCTCTCCTTTCAATTGGCTTGATTGTGGCAACGATCGGTTCGTACATTTTCACCATTTCTTCACTTGTTCAGGTAGTTATTATACTTTATCAATCGATGTTTTTTTCAACTACTTTAAAATTTTTTAGTCATGGGCCTTTGGGGTGCTTATAACGTCTGCGATAGCCTCTATTGCCTCGTGCTGTTATATCGTGTTCACTCAGCATACCGAATCTCAGATTTTTAAAAGAATGGTTGCTTTTGGTATTTTCACATTTTCTTCTGGTGAGTCGCCTAATTTATTACTGTTTGTTAAAGTGATATTTATGATCATTACATATTTTTTTCTTAGGCATTGGTCTTGGACCTTTGGTTAAGTTTACCCTACATGTGAATCCATCGGCATTGCCAGCTGCTCTTTTCGGAACTGCTATCATTTTCGTTGCATTCACTTTTGCCGCTTTGCTTACTCGCAAGCGCGTGTTTTTCTATCTGGGAGGTTAGTTTGTCGAAAAAATATACCTCCTATTCGAATTTTTTATCTAAACTTTGCTTTCATGTAGGCATTTTGGGTACTGCTATTAGTGTCATTTCTGCATTCTCTTTGATGAATCTGTTCATTCGCTCACCAGCACTTTTCAGTGTCGAGCTCTATCTATCCTTTTTAATTTTCTGCGCTTTCGTTGTCTATGATACTCAACTTATTGTCTTCAAACGCCAAATGGGTGATTCCGACTTTATAAGGTAACTAGGCGGTTTTCCGTGTTATTAGTTTTATTTTCTTTACTCATTGTTTCTTTTAACTTAGACACGCATTGGATCTATTTGTTGATGTTATCGAACTATTCCGTCATCTTCTGATTATCCTAAACTCAAAGAGAGTGAGTTTTTCTATATCACCTAGCTTTAAAGTTGTTACTGTATATTTTTCTTTATGGTCTTTTCATTTGCATTTTAGGAGCGCAATGAACGCAATAGGGAGTAGGAAGACGTTGAAGTGCACTATATCGTCAGACTAAATCTTATTATTCCAAATGCACTTTATTCTCATAAATCGACTAATTAAATTCATTATGTCGCTTGAACCATTTTAATTTTAGCAAGTTCTGTTTTATTTTTTTCGTCTTAGTGGTGCATGTTATCTGCATTTTATTAGTTTTAAGTGGAATTAATGGTATAGTTGGGAAATTTGCGGTACCCTAAATGTCTAAGGCTTTGGTGGTTTACATCGCGGGCGTGTTCATGCGTAGACGCTGTTCGGTTAATGCTAAATTTTAGGTTTGAGTACCTGGTTACTTGATATGTGTGCTTTGGGTTCTTCTCGTGAACTATATGCTACCGTACTTGATTTTGGTTATCTTTTCCATATATCTGCTTTACAAATGCTTTAGTATCTGGTCATTATTCCATCTTTGTTAATTTTATCTTTGTAACGACGAAATAAAATAATAAGATCCAGTTCGATTGTATCCTTCTGAGTAAGGTTGCTGCTAATGATGACTTCTCTATTGAAAGGTCATCCTACCGCCTTGGAGAAAGTGTTCAAATTAATGTTTTATCTTCACGTGGGAATCCGCCATTTGCTGTTAAAAGTATTAAAGCTTTGAGGCAATTTCTAATGTTTGCTTTATAACCGAAGAGCATTGTGACCTGGCACATTCATTTGTTTGGGCTACACCCAACCCTCTGTACATAAACCAGGACGCCTGCGTTTTTTAACGAGTTTCTATATTTAGTACCGCTGCCGTATAATTTAAAGCTAGTCCAAATACCTATTTATCTTTATTAGTAACTATATTTGAAATTCACTTTCTGTTTCTTGACTACCTAGTGTTTCAACTGTTGTTCTGACTGCTGGCATAGACTGACCTACTGGTTATGTCATCTGATTTCTCTTTGCCTATGCACTAAAGGCTGTCTATAATGCCGATCATAGTGATAGGCAGATTACCATTGCTGATAGTATTAGAGATATTGTGTCGATAAAATGTATATGCAGATTTTTAACCTTTGTAGCAACTTACTTTGTTAGGGACGTTTTCTAGTAGATGTCTGGTTTTATTACCATGGAAGGACTCTTCAATTTTTCGTGACAGACCTAGCAGTTATACCACTTCTAATCGTTTCTACTAATTGATGCGATTTTCGTAGACTTAGATGCCTGTTTCTTTAATGCGAATCAACTATGCAATAAGTTCAAAACAGGTGTTCGCCATAATAAGAAATCGGACTTATTTCCACTGCCTTATCATCTATTAGATCAGAGCAATATAAATTTATCAAGTCGAATTAAATATTAACCCTAAAATGATCTATTCGGGCATATATGAATTGCGCTATTTCACCGATTGGTCGAGTAAATTTTCTATATAAGTTCGACTTATAGACTGAAAACTATTCATTCTCACTGTCGAAATGTTTGCTTTTAATAATTAACAGGCCCCTCTTTGTGAGTTGTAATATTGTGCTTGAATATTTTCCCATGGAAATAAGTAAGTTTAATAACTGTTCGCGATCTTTCTAATGTGATGTCAATGACAGCATCGTCAACATAAAATGGTGTGAGGAGAAAGATATAGTTTCGTTCTTTAACATTGGATCGCCTTTTCGCTTTCGATCACAGGGTATCAACTGTCATCTGCACTCGTTATGAAGCAAAAATTATTACCATGTGCACTAGGCCCATGTTAATAGGTAGATCGTCATCTAACGTAAGCAAAATGTCATAAAGAAGGCATATGAACAGTAAATATTTAAATCGCGAAGTAATGACAAAATGAAATATTTCTGTAATCGAGTAGGAGTCAAGAGGCAGATAAGGTAGATACACGAAGAAGGAATTTGGTGAGATTAACTTATACCTCAAGGAGTGGGAGAGGGAGAGAGAGAGTACTTGTCAGGTCCGGACAGATTGGTTTAAACACATTAAACATGAACGAAGTATTAGCCTCTGCTTATTGTCGTAAGCATATATTCAAAACTAGTGTTACTAACTAACGCTGTCAGCTAAGCGCTTTTCTGATGATATCACAATTGTCTTTATAGCCCATGGCGCTACATAAAAATTTTGTAAGTTTAAATTGGGGGAAAAAATCTGCATAAATGGAGCAATGGGCAAGTTCACTAAGATTCAGGTCACTGGATGATAGGGCAAACAATCAGGAAGTGAAGTCAGAACTTGATGCTATTGCATTTCTTTAATTCTGGGAGTATTTAATTGCCCACTTCCCATGAGGAGTAGAGTTCCATTAACTCATAAATACACCGATGAGTAACTCAATCTGTTGATATAAATCCGTCCTTGGTCACGCCATTCCAATTCGTTTATCATCACTTACAGTCGTGAACAATGTTTTCAATTAAAGAGGCCTTGCCAGAGTTCATTCATGATGACCTTTCCTCAGGTTTATAAAAAGTCATAGGGGATGCGTGATAGACTTACCTCCACGTGGTAAGACCTGGGCAGCGTATACTCGTACGGTAAAAGGGTCTATAAACCGGCAGTTGACTTCTCATTTCAAACTACCGTGACGCGACTGAATGTCATATTCGGCCACATCCACAGTACTCACTTTGCCTTTTCCCTCTACCACTACATCTCTCTCTTACCATTGTGAATCGCTCTTCTGTTCCATCTCTCAAATTTTTTGTGACCTTGTCTGTTCCTCCCTTATGTGAAGCCCGAAGCCACCCTAAGGGGTAATGATAATTACCATAAAGCCTACCATTTGATATCAATAAATTAGTAGTCATACATGTTCTGTTAGGTTTCACTACTAAGCCAATCAATGTAAATTACGATCAGCTGAGAAATTAATGTAATTAATGCCGTATATGCTTTATAAGTGGTTCTATTAAAAGAGGTAGCTGTTTTATCCCCACGGTTTTGAACGAATATTAAAAGCTCTACATAAAATATGTTGCAGCTAGGGTAACTTCAGAATCAAATTTATTTAGTCAATTTTTTTAAAGTAAATGAAATAAGGCATTAAACTACATTCGTGCTACTAGCTTAGATGGTGTCAATTAAGGTTAAGTAAGTGGACACTGATGACAGGATAGTCCACAAATGCTTTATGATATGAAGATATAGTCTGATTATAAGCCTGAAATTGATTGACTGCACTAATTTAATTTTGTTTTCCATCGAACCTTTGAATTCTAACGTGCGGCAAACAGTCCCATATTTAGCCACTTCTATTTGGTAATCCAGTATAGTCTTAATATTTCCTTTAATTATTATCTAAAATAAGATTAATCCTTATGTAATCCATGTGGATCTATATATGTTGCCATATTTCATACATAAATCGATTAAATTTCCTATATAACAGCGAAAAGTTATTGGCTTTCCTTCTCACCTTGAATATCGACTTATATATGGTCAGCTATTCATTTTCATTGTCTAAATACTTGCTTTTAGCTATGAACATGCACCCTCTATGTAATTTATAGCATACTGTGTTTGGATATTTTGTCTTGGAAAAGTAGGAAACCTTTTCATCTGCTATGGTAAATAGGCAAGTCCAGTAACTGTTCGCAGTTTTCTTTCCAGTGTGTTGTCGATGGCAGCATTGACAATATTAAATGGTGCGAGGAGAAAGAGCATGCTTTGCTGCTTGTTTCACATATGATCTCATTAAGAAAGTGTGACCTTGTTTACCGGTAAGAATGTCACCCGACTTGCTGTTGACTAGTTTTGAGCACCGTTTGGTTAATCATGTTCATATCAAGTCATTCGTAATTGGTTAGATCATTTTTGTGCTTTCCTTCGTCATCTCCTATGCTTAATTGGTGGTGTTATGAGAATAAAGGAAGCCTTCAGGATATCGCCATTCTTCACCAGTTGTTGCTGCATGACAAGCGTATATAATTATAAAGACACATTTTATGAAAATGAGAAATGTGCTTTCCCTCAAATATTTATTTATATCAAATGGCAGGCGTTTTGATATTTAACATTAGCCCTTTGGTTGACTTCAAGAAGGGACATCAAAGTGAAAAAAACGTCGGGGGGGGGGGGGGGGGACAGAAGAGTATCTCAAAGATATAAAAGGACAGACACAAAGGTAGAAAAAGGTGAGGTGAGTACTGTGAAAGTGGTAGAATATGACAAACAGTGGGGTCATGGTAGTTTGAAGTGAGAAGTCAACTGCAGGTTTACAGACATTTTTGCTGTATGAGTAATCGTTGCCCAGGGTGCATCACGTGGAGGTAGATCTATCGCACACCCTTTTCCTCAAATATACTAGTGCAACAGTGAGTATAAAAGCAAATATCCGAAAATGCAAAGGCTATATTTTACTGCAATGCCCTTGTGTCATGGTCCTTATTATCTCTTTTCGATAGTCAGAATAAATTGCCCAGTCACTGTAGTCAAGTACAACAGGTTTTCTTTAAATGGATCCATGGAAAGCATAACTTCAAGTAGCATCCTTTGACCAGACGCTCTGACCGTTTTAGTCTACCTGTTGCCCTCTGATTTAAGTAAAAAATATTTTTGTTTTTAAGTATTATTGCAAGATTGCAGAGACATTTAACGAATGTGTGCACTTATGCCAAGCATTATGTATTGTTACATACGTCTATCCTACCCTTAGCTGCGCAATAAAACTACCCCAGATTCTTCTTGAAAACGGGTGAATGACATTTTCCGCTACTATGTTTACATCAGAGATGTCAATGATACCGATCATTCTGCTAAATTAACGACTTTCAAAGCCATGGTCGTGGATTTAGATTGCCCAAAGTGGCTCTATTTTCTACTATTCCTCCTAGCCGTTTCATTTTTACACTCGGCTTAAAAAGGCTCTTCTGGGAAGAGAGGTATATATTCAGTGGTTTTACAGCAAGCATGGCATTTGCAGCACTTGGAGCTGAGAATATTATAACCCAGAAATAAAATCTCTCAAGTATCGAATTTCCATAATCAAACTATTCTGCCTTTATTAATGGATTTCCAACCACCGTGCTAACCATTCAACG